GTACTTCGCGAATAGAGACTCCGTACATCTCGTCCCAAAAGTCAGGAGCGAATTTTGCTGCGCAGATGCGCGCGTGCAATTCGCAAAATGCGCCTGTACAAATGTATATAAAATTTCTTGGCGGATGAGGACCAGGTGCGCCAGCGCGTTGCCGCACGCTGGACTATTGCGTCGATGCTTTGCAGTAAATAAAAGCACCGAAAGCCAACGTCGTAGCTTGCAACTCTGGGCTCGTGAAACTGCCGCGGAAGATGAAGCGCTGGCGAAGAGGCAGTTGTATGCAGCATCTTGTTCAGAGTAAAGTCAAATTACAAAGTTGCGCAAAGTATAACATACATAAACTTAATTAAACATAAGAACAGATAAGACGTTTAGAGCCTTGTCGGTGACATGGACGCCGCTGTTGGCTTGGAACAGCTATTTGCTGTGCATAGGGACGTGCCCGCGTTAGCCGTGTTGCAACAGCTCAGGATGGATTTCAGCCAGCAACAGCCTCAAGAGCTGCTGCACAACCACCGGGAATGTCTTCAGTTGGGCACGTGTAGTTTTGGTCGGCGGGGTCGAGCAACGTACGCAATGAGCACAGAAACCAAGGTGCAGCGTTCTGTAACATCGCCAACATATCCGGTACGCGGTGGCAGGCTTGCCGAGCACGAAATGAAGGGGGGGTCGCATCTCACCATTCAACTAAGCATGCATGTGCTCGGTTGAATGCTCGGTAGCGTGCGAGTTTACCCCTATCAGGATGTTTGTTTGCATATCCCCCCAAGCGAGAGGGCTTGCACCTATGCTGATGTTCGATTCAAGAAGTGAACTGAGGACTGATGCTACGGTGAAAGATTTGCACGTAAATTCGCCCGTGCAATAAAACGCCCTGTAACTCGCTTACACTAATCTCACATTCCAATATGCCACTGCACTTTCCTCTCCAGCCTGGCCACATTCTCTTCCTCGCAAACGTACTTGGGCACCTTACAATCCAACACCATACGTGCTTTGGAAACGCGGGCAGCTGCTTCACAAGGACCCCCCTATTTGGCTTTAAATTTAATATTACAAGAGTTTTCCGTACTACGAGGGCTTTTCCGTAGAAAAGGGCA